TTCTTCTTCTTCTTCTTCTTCTTCTTCTTCTTCTTCTTCTTCTTCTTCTTCTTCTTCTTCTTCTTCTTCTTCTTCTTCTTCTTCATTTCTCCTCCTCCTCCATCTACACCTACACCTCGTCCTCCTCCCCCTTCTTTTACTTCTTCTTCTATTATCTATTTGTGGTGGCCGAATTTTGCTATTCAAAAGGCTTTTTAATGGCTGCATCGATCGACATGCGGTTTTCGCCTAAAGATTCTTTTAAACATTCTCCAGATCATGACGCCCTTCGTTTTTTCAGTTTTGAGACAGTTTTGCTGCAAAAAACTAAATTTCTTTATTTTGCATATCGCTTGTGTATGCCGTCACTTCTGTCTCTGTAATTTTATATAATCCAGTGCGGAAGTGATAATTTGCGAGACGCATTTTGTTTTGAGAGTATAGATAGATCTAGTCTTCTTCTATGAGCGCTCCAAACCCGCTGTAGAGTGAGAAGACGGTCAAAGGCGTGCGATCGAAACCGGGAATTCCCGTAAACCTACTAAATGTACATGTATAACTGAACACAAAATATCTTTCGGCGCAGTCGGCACTCCGCAGTGAATATACAATGTCGAAGCAAATGACGGCGATCGCTACAAAAGGACTGAATTTGACTTAAAATGGGCTTTCTTCTTACACATTTGATCTTAATGAAAATACAATAGTGCAACACTACGTTTCAAGTTATGGGCACTGGCAAAGTTTCATATTTTTTTCATTCAGTCGTTTCCGAGAATATACTGTTCGCAAAATTTCGCCTTAGCTCCATTAGTAGTACAAGATACCTTTCCCGCCTACGCCGGGTTCCCATTTCCACTTCGATGAAGTGAGGAAAATTCATACAACATATCTCTACCAAGGACATAATTTCAGCCCTGCCCTACTCAGTCACAAAGCACAAACGGCACTTCTGTCGTGCTAATTACTCCTAATCAGTCTTAAATTCTATACTCCAAATTAAAACATCTAGATAGAGAGATCTAGATCTCGTATTGCTCTAAAAAAAACAACTACACACCAAATACGGGTCAAAATTTTGAAAACGTCAATACAACGAAGTAAACATTTTGTGGGTCTAAACGAACATAACGTGTTGGGGACATGACTACACCAAATGTATGTAGAAAAGGTCAATAAAATTAAGTTTGGCCTGAAGTATCCATCGACACTATAAAGCATACATCCAAACAGGGTTGGATATCGAGATTCTAGCTCTGGAAGTAGAAGAAGCAGCTGTCTCACGCGCACGAAGAAGCACATTATTAAACGGAATAGTAGTCCCCAGTAAAATTTGAAATGGGTAATGGCAGAGTGAAAACTTATGAGAGCTTCGATTTATAGGAAAAACCATCAAACCTGAGAAATCAAAAAGTAGTTTCCGAACATTTGAAAATATGCCAACGTAACCCTTCGGGACAATTCTTGTCTGAATCATATTTTTGTAGATTTTATGTGCACCTGTGTAAAAAGTTTTTACTGACCCCACAAACGGGCTTAGCTCCATTATAATAATAAGATTATTATTATTATTATTATTATTATTATTATTATTATTATTATTATTACTAGTAAAAGTACCCGTTCTACGAACGGAATAATAATGAGGAAGTATTAGGAAAGTTAAGAAGAGGAAAAAGACTGAAAACCGGAAAGAAACAAAACATAAATATTTTACCTTGAATTTAGCCATGTAGCACCCCCTCTTGACTACCTCTAGGGCTAAGACTTCTTCCCCCTCTTCGAAGGCGTGGCATTTTCTCCTAAAGTTCCAGCTCAATCAGTTTTTTAAAAAAGAGTTAGGCCTACATGCCAATTGTTGCTTCCTGGAACCTAATCTAGATTCTAGATCTAGCCTAGATCTCGAAGGATTATAAAGACATAGGCCTATAATTGAAAGGAGCCTAAGCCCATAAATAGATCTAAGTTTAGACATTCACATTTTTAACAACCGACAGGCGTCACAGATGGCCTAGATTTCTAGATCTACTCACAGCAGGAAAAATTCACTTTCAAGAATGTTTTCATGATTCTTGATTCACCGACAGCCTAGTTCTAGACTCTAGATCTATTCCCAGCGGGAAAAAATCCGTGTTCAATACTTTCATCATTCTTGATCTCGATCAAAGATAGATCTAGCCTAGATCTAGATCTTAGAATCTATAATACACAGCAAGAAAAATCCACGTTCAATATTCAATAGGTTATCGAAATATCACATATCTAGATTCTACTTTCATTTCTTGATTCTTCTTGATCTCGATTCTAGATCTAGATGCTAGATCTCATCTAGATCTAGACACTGTGCACAAAATACACTCATCCTTTGGCGTGCGTGCTAAATCCACTGCAGGAGAAATCTACTTTCAATGCTTTCATGATTTGTTAATCTTGATCTGGATATTAGATCTAGACATACACACACATGCGACTACACGCAGGGCGTAAACCGGGTTACGATTTGCTGAACCTTTGACTTTGACCAAGGAACACATTAAGTAGGCATACGGTAGGCTACTCTTGGCGCTTCGACGACACCCTCCCTGTCACTCTGACCACCCTCCCTTTGCAGTGCTTTCTGGCCTTCTTTATCTCTTCCTCTCTCTCTCTCTCTCTCTCTCTCTCTCTCTCTCTCTCTCTCTCTCTCTCTCTCTCTCTCTCTCTCTCC